ATGTTCTTGATGTAATTTACCTAATTCACTTAAGTTAAAAACATATGATATACCATTATTAATATTGATATTATCAATTTCAAAATATTGCATATTATTTAATTTGTAAGACTTATACACTGGTTTAAATTTATTAATATATTTTTTAATAATATTATTATTTTTTATTTTTATTAATCTAAAATCATCTAAAATATACGATATTATTATGTTTTTAATTTCCATTGGTAAATAATAAAATACCATAATATATATAATATATTTATTTTATTTTAAATGCTTTTTCAAATCTAACATAAAACATATTATTAACATCTTTGGAATTCATATTAACATAAAAGAAGGAGTATGGTTTATCATCTACCGCTTTATGATACATATTTAACAGTTGCTCTTTATCAACGATGGCCGAGTTTTCCTCAATGAATGACATTAACTCTGATACATTCTTTAACTTGAAGATATACAACGAACTAGAATTCAACCTAATGATTGGAGCAAGGACACGATATTTTTGAACACTTAAGCAAAAACTAATGGCGTCGTGTCTGCCTCTCGTTGCCAGTCCATGTAATAACTTGCTGTATCTAACAAATTTAGGGTCGTCTGCAAAATCATCAACTATGATTAAAATTGAATGTAGTTTCTTCATCTTCTGTTCTTTCATATAATGAATTATCTTTCTTTGTGTGTTAATTATTTCTTCCAGTTCTTCAGGTTGGTAGGTGTCATAATATAACTTTTCTTTTTCGTCATCAACCTTCATATTATCTTTTTGGTATTTCTTGACTTCAACAAAGGTAGGGTCATTATGAACTGACGGGCTAAAAATGAATATACGGGCGAAGCAGTCCCTATAAACATTTAGGATAAGGTTTTGAATTAAAACTGTTTTGCCACCCGTTGATGAAGCAACAACAATTGAGCGAAAAGGTAGTTTTGGTACATGTTCATATTTAGGTTGATTGAAATCGTAATCAGTTATATTTATTGGTTTTATTATTGGAACATCTGACATAATAAAATAATATTAAAGTTATTTAGAAAATATTTTATATTTATTATTTTATATGAATAGAAGTTATTCGGATTATATTGATATAATAGATAAAGTAGAAAATATAGAACAAGTAATAATAACCGATAATAAAATTAAGAAATGTTGTTATTATTCATTAGAATTAATTAAGTTAGGAATACAGTATATTAAAAATATAAATATTAATATAGATGGGGAGAAAGAAAAAGAATAAGACAGAATCAGTTGTTTCTTCAACCGATGAAGAAAAAGAAGAAATTGTTAAAGAAACATCAGTTATTGAGTTTGCTTGTCCAATGTGTAAAAAAATCTTAGAAATGAAAAATGAATTAGAAATACAAAAGAAAGGAAACTGTAAATGTTCGTGTATTCCAACAAGTTTCAAAATAAGTAGAAATGATAAGAAAATGAATATTGATAAAACTAAAGACAGTATAAACTTAGAAACAGATGTTCATAATATTGCTATCAAATGGGGAAGGCATGCATCACCATCCGATAATGGTGATAAGGAAACACAAGAAACTGTTAAACAAATAATGAAAAATTAGTATTTAAAGAGTAGATTTAACATAATTGCAACATTTAGTTTTAAAAGTTTAGTTTTATAATTTAGTATATATTTTACATGGCTGAAGGATTAGATAAGATTGTTAAACAACTAAAAAAGGTTTTAGAACAGAATAATAATATTTTGGAAATCTTACAAGAAATGGAAAAGAAGAAACCACTAACAAACAGTTATCAAAGTCAGGAAGTAGATAGAACCAGAGCTGAATATAAAAATAAAAGAAATATTTATTTAAACAAACTTAATAACAAAGAAATTAAAGAACCGAAGGCTTCAACTATGGCATTTTATCAAATTGACTATGATGAAGATACAGGGGTTTATTCATAATATAACGATATATTGAGAAAATAAAAGACCGCACACATACATGTTTGATTTGTAATTGTTGTGTGTCTTGGAGGGCAAAAGCAAGACACGAAAAAACTTTGAAACACCAAAATTATTTAAACGAACTTAATAACAAAGAAATTACAGAACCGAAGCAATCAACAATGGATTATGACAAAATAGAATATGACAAGGAACTGAAACTTTATGTTTAATCATTAACTAACAAAATTTCGTGTCTCAAAAGCGGTTTGTTTATTCCTGCTACTTTGTAAGTTTTATTACCCATAATATCATATTCAATTTTATCAATATTGAATATTTTATTAGACCATTTAGAGTTATACTCCTTTCTGTCGGTGTAATTACCCCTTTTCTTTTGGAACACTTTTACCTTGTCGTTCTCCTCTATTTTGGGATACTTTCTTTTGTTTTTTTCTCGTAGTTTAAGATTGACCTTTACATTTATTTCATTGTCGTCCTTGTGTGCATCGGTCGGTGTCATCCTTGTTGATGAGTGTGATGTGCTGTTATACTGTTTCAATGCCGGCGTTAGGGCGTCGGTCCATTTCATGTTGTTAAACCTAACTCTATCGTGAATTTTGTTTTTCATCGTTCTAATAAAACGCTCGGCCACATTTGCGTGGGTCTTCGTGACGATGTGGTTTATTCCTTCACTGTTGAAGAAATCCTGAACTTGATTTTTAGTTGCAAACGCTCCGTCGTCATCAGAATACACGGACATCGGATAACCCATCTTTTTAAAGCTTGTTCTCAACGCCTTCAAAACGTGCTCTCCGTCTCTTTCCTCCATCGGTATTACATCTGCTAATTTACTGAAGATGTCAATCACGACTAAAGCATACTGTGGAACGTTCTTGTCTTTTGCTAAAGGAGACATATGCATTATGTCTATTTGATATTCATATCGTGCGAATGGAGCAGTATAGGAATTAGTACCTCTATAATTTTTGATTTGTTTATTTGGCTGTTTCTTTAAGAAAGACTTTACATCGTCTAATGTTATTGTTGGGTCTTCTTCCTTTGCCTTCTTGTGTGTCGCTTGTGTGCTTCCGAAACCCTCGTCTAAGTCGTAATAGATGTTGCTGATTATTTGGTCTTTTGTTAATCTCGCCATTATATTAAATTGTTAGAAAATATTTTTTCAATATAAAGCCCCACCCCTTAACATAAAATACAAACTACTTAAAGAAAAATGGATATAATATAGTAAGAAAAAAATGACACTGTTTAATTATGATAAATGTCCTTGTAAAAATAAAAAATGTAAGTCTGTCGTGGCACTAGCTAATATTTTACCTGTTAATGTTTGTAATCTTATAGGTGGTTATATTAAACCAACATGTTTTGATTGTTGGTATTTGAGAGATGAAGAAGAACATTTTATGAGAAATAAAGACATTCCTGAAGAAGGTCTGGAAAAAGCAGAGCTTCAGTTAAAGATTATTGAACAAATGCTAAATAACGATATTACTTGTCTAACAGTAATCCCTTTTGTTAACAAACAATACAGAAAAAGAATTGACAGAATATTTAATAAACAAGAGGTTAAAGAAAGATTTAAAACAAGAAAAATGTATTATCAAGGATTAAAATCATATTGTAAGAATAATCAAGAAGAAGTTACTGTACTTTTAAAAAATTGTCTTAAAATTGAAGAATTAAAGTTTATCAAAAATAGTGATTTGTTCTTTCCTAACCTAAACAATTGGTGGTCATATAGAAATAACAATTATTATATGAGAAACATATTAAGCGACTTAATTGAAATTTACACAGACCAATTAATAAAAGGATACGAGCATTATTGTTGTGAGTATAGTATGAGTTGTTATAGTGGTTGTATCGCTGGTGAGATTGAATACGGGTCAAATTAACTTTTGTTTATTAATATTATTATCTTATAATATGATTAAACATTGTTTTATAATCTAAAAAGAAGGTTAAGACATTTAAATTAAACCTGAAACCCAGACCAGCCGACCAGCAACCCCCTAGCCAAAACTACTTAAAGAAATATTACCTTATATATTAAGAGAAAAATGAGTAAGGGTAAAATGTCAGAGAATAATTTTATGGTTGAGAATTGCGCTAGCTTACCTGAAGGCTTAGTTTCAATCATCACTACTTACATTAATGGTAGTGAAGGGTGGCAAAGACTAAAACAGTGTAAAGCATTAAGGGTCTTACAAAGGAAATGGAAACCGTCTATTTACACTGAACGAGTAGGAGAAAGTAGATATTATGTTGAGATTCGCAATAAATGCTTAAAAGGTGATAAAGCGCTTTCATATGCGTTGAAACCACCAAAAGAATTATTAAGAATGATGAAGTATGATGAAGAAATACAGGTTGGAATAGAAGTTAGTTCGAAAATTATGTATCATAATAATATTAGCAACTGTCGTTCTTATTCATCATCTAAACAGAATAAGATTTCAAGTAGAGCGTCATTACAATACCATATTGAACAAGCAGTTGAAGAAACCAAACAGACTATGAAACGACACGAAATCATTACTATCGAACATGTTATAATTGAAATTTATAGAAAACAGAAACAATGATTTCATGGTTTAATCATAATATTTAATTATAGTATGATTAAACATTGTAAACTTTTATAACCTTTCATTATACTGTAATTTTAACCTATAACAAAATTTCATTAACAAAACATATATCAAAACAAATACACCACCAACACCCCAGAACTTGATAACTACTAAAAGGGCTACCTCTTTCAAATGAAAAAAATGTTTGCCCCTAGCCCAACAATGAACAAGGCGACAATTTACCCAAATGATTACCTTAACGAAAACGATAAATAAGCTCCCCAAAAACCCTCTATTAAAAACGAATAAGGGGAAACACAGATTTGAGATGAACATAAAAACCATAACAGGCAACCATCAACAGGCCACCCCCCAGGCCCCCTACTTTTACCATTTTTTCCCCCCCCCCCGCCAAAAAAAAAACACAGCCCTTGTCGCTTGGGGCTCAGTCTGCCCGAGATCGAACCGAGTCCCGAGTCCGCGCCTCCGCCTCGGCGTGCAACGCCGCCGCCACGCCGCACTGCGCCAGCAGCTCCTGGCACGGACACCTCACCGCTTCGGAAAGGGGGAAGCTATCAACACATGTGCCACAGTCAACTTTTGACCATGGCAAACTCACCTGGCTGTGGGTCACAAATAGGTACCCAAAATGGAATCCTGGTAAATGGAAACATGGACGAAAACCTGCAGTCGCAGGGTGGTTTAATTTTGACCCATACCCATATGTTCCCAGACACCTCTGAAGTCCACCCCAAAGGTCACCCCTCGCCTGTCCCTGGCCTCGCCTTCTTAGCCTCGACTTCAGCGACCAACTTGCCGCGGTCGGTGCGCGGCTCCAAGTGGATCGGCACACGGATCCAGTCCTGCCGATTGCAACCCGGCTGTTTCCTGTTGGTTTCGACCAGAATGGGGCTCCCCAAGAAACGGCACTCTCATTTTGCGAGAACCCAGGTCGTCTCTGTTTGCTGTGTCTACCTGGAGAGGGAATGAGCGCCACTGCACTGCTCCCCAGACCTCCGAAACCTCGCTCTCGATGCAGGAGGCGTCATCAGGGGCAGGCGGATCTTCACTCCTCGCAGCACAAGCACACTAGATTCTGGGACCCCACATATGTCAGATCGCCGAGATGTGGGTCTGAGTTTTACTTGGCCGGACTCTTTGCTTCATCCTCAATCATGGGGATTCATGCCCACCAACCATGTTCGGAGGATGTTCCAAACATCAAAAGTCACAGCCTGGGTGTGTCCTCTAAATGAGGGACCCCCCCCTCCCGCCAGGGAAAACGGGCTGGGCATTGTCCCTCGTTGTGTTTTCTTTCTGGGCTCTTTTTGAATGGACCCCCCAAGATGAACTTTGGCTTTCCTTTCGGTTTCCCTTTAAAGCCTACCAAAAAGGGGGTACCAACTCAAAAACGACACAAGCACTTTCAAGAAAGCCTGCTCCAGTCCTGCGCCGGAGCCGGTCCAGCTCGGCGTGTGCGGCGCGCAGGCTTTCTTTGGCCACGCGCCTGGCCGGCTGAGGCGCGGGTCGCCGTGTTCGGGGTCCAAACCCCGACTTTGACACATATTGGGTGTCCCCTGCGTTTGACACACAGCCATTTCCCCGTTTACCCACTTTGACACATGGTGGTTGTTCTAAATTCCTTTGTCTCGAAACGGCCATTCTTCGCGAATAAAAAAGTTACTTTCGCGAATCTTTCGCGGATTCATCGCCGTGCCCTTTTCCTTGCTCAAGTCAGAAAATGGCTGATTTTAAGTGCCAGCGTAGTGCGCGAAATTCGATTCCCCAACTCCCGCTGTAAAGTCGCAACTTTCATCACAGGGGTAGTACATGACATGCACGGGCTGGAACGACGCAGCTTTTCCTAAGCCGTGCAGCTCCAGCTTAAAGTCGCAACTTTCCAGTACCAAGCTGGTATACTGACAAGCGCGGCGCTCAGAAAGTACCTCCCCCTTACAATCGAAGCCGCTTTCGCGGGGGCTTTCGCGGATCTTTCACGGAACTTTCGCGAAAAACAACCCACGTTTCAGAGCGGAAAGGCGCCGAGCAAACACCCACAGGCACACATACACAGGCTTGGGGCACTAACCAGCCAAGCAGGGTATCAAACTGTAGCCTCACAAGGCTTTTTCGGCGCAAAATCAACAAAGTGTTGTAATCAGCGCAGAAGGAAGGCTCAGCAGCAAAGATGAATGGCTTCACATATCATTGATTAACAAGACACAGGTACGCAAAACTTTCGCGAGAAAAAAAGTTACTTTCGCAACTCCATCGCGAATCTTTCGCGGAGCTACCTCAACCAACACCGATGGTCACCGAATACTAAACTCCTTACAAGGACCTTTAGAACGACTCCCACATAGCAAAGTGGCAGTTGAAGCGGTTTCAGAGGTCCCGTCAGTAAATAGATCAGCTCAGGACTCTCTGAAAAAACTTGGCGCCTCTGGACTGCGTAACAGTCGGAATCGTAACGGATGCCGAAACCCGGCGGAAACGGTTCTGGCTGGCGTTGGGGTAGCGCTGAACCTTGTGCCTTGCTTCACCTCGCCTCTCCTCCCTGGCTTCCTCCAGCAGGCTGGGCCGGTCCTTGCGGCTCGACATGCGCCAAACGCGGACAAGGCGGGGATGTCGGGTGGCCAAGTGAACCCCAAACAGTCTGAAACAAAAAGGCTCCGTTCGGTGGTCAGGGTACTTCCAAACAGTTTTTTCAGGGTACCCCGTTTGAGGGTGAGAAGTATGGTCTGCTCGGAAGTGAGCGTGGCCCTAGCACAGCGTACCGTTCTGGGATGTTCAAAGGGAAGCCAAAAGGAAACAGGATCCATTGGGTGAGTCTCGAAATCTGTCGGCGCTTGAAAGCTCCGTCCCAAGAATGGGCTCCGCCCGTGCACTGGACACCCAGGTTTGCCTCAAAATTGGGGAACGCCCCACTGAAAGGAAAAAGACAAATGAAAGGAAAAAGCTTTCCAAAGAACACACCCGCGACAAAAGCACATCCACAAAAAGACCCGCCCCCACCCAACCCCCCCAAAAAAAACCGTCCACCAGACAAAACGCTGGAAGGCGACGCTCGGCTCGCTCCGTCCGCTCCTTGAGCTTTAGGGCGCTGAGCGCCTCGCTGCGGCTCGCCGCGGCGCAGCGCTGCTCCGCCGCCGCCTTCTTGTGGTTTGGGTCAGGGGCCGGGGGGGGGGGGTGAGGGGCTGGGGGCGAGAGTGAGGGGCTGGGGGGGGGGGTGGGGGGGTGAGGGGCTGGGAGGTTCTTCTTGGGTTTGAGGCCGAAACCTGGTGGAATATTCATGGCTTTGTTGGTTTGCTTGCGATGGTGAGGGCAGCCGGGTCTTTTTTGGAGCCAACAAGTAGGAAACCAGGAAAGGCTTTGTGGCTGGTTTACTTGCAAAGGTTGCATCTTTTTTGGGGTTGGGTTCAAATGGGTTTGCGTTTGAGGGTCCGAATGGGTGTCTTTTTTTGGGATGCCACCTGGTTGGCAACCAGACTGTCACACATACAAAAAAAGCACTCCGCAACGGCCTCGGACACCTCGCCCAGCATAGATTCTGCTTGTTCAACTTCTGCTCTACCTGACCAAAGCAGGAAAGCTTGGGCTTCTCTCCAGATACAAAATATCTCCCCAGATGGGTGGTTTCGCTTTGGCTTCTCCTTGAACTTCCCAGTCTTTCCCCCCCCCCCCAACAAAAAAGAAAACGTGCATCCTCAAAACAAAGACACCCCTCCCCCCTCCCGCAAGATCAGAAGCCATGCGTCACATGTCAAAACCAAGTTGCACTGCGCCACCTCCTGCTCCGTCACCGACTGCTGCACCGCCAGCTCTGCCCTGAGGCAAGCCAAGTCCACCTTACTCACCGTGGCATCCGGCCGCACCACCAGACTCGCGCCGGAAGCGCCGCCCTTCTCACGGTACTTGCCTTGGTTCTCGGGCGGGAGAAGGTGAGTCCTGTGCGCTCTGGCGAGTTGATCCAGGCAAAGAGGTCGTACCAAAAACCGTCATGCTCCGCTCCCTCCTGGTTTCCCGTACAAAAAGCCACACAATAAAACCAACAAGTCCATTCTCCAAAACGGTTGAAAGACCTGAAAAAGTATCACGTACCAAGCCGCGGTCTTCCAGCTGCTTCTCCGACGTCTCCAGCTCCAACTCCAAGTCGATCTTCTCCAAACGCAGCTCCTCCCTGCGCGTCTCCATGGCTGAGGTCTCCTCCCGCACCCGCACCGACTTCTGCCAGAGTCCTGGGTGTTCCATGCAACTGGCTGACCCGAAGAAAAAAATACAATCAGGGACCCCAGCCACGGAACCCGTCCGGAACCCCGCAACGCAAGGGGAAAAAAAGAATCAGGAAAAAGGGTGAGCCTAGAACAATCAGCTGCAGTGGATATGTCCGCACCTCCTTTGCTAGCAGAAGCTCCTTTTGGCTCCCCTTTGAATCCAACCAACCATAGCTCTTCTTGTGACAAACATGTTGCATTCCCTTTGAAGCACAATGGCTTGTTACAAACAGAGGACGGAGAGCGAGAGTGAGAGAAAGAAAAAGAAAAGAGAGAGTAATCCGTAGAGCCCACAAGCCGTAAACCGCATCCGCAATCTGCGATTTTTTTTTGGAAAAGGTGTTCAAGAACCTAGATTGAAGCAGTTGCGCAAAGCCTCAAACCCTCAAACCCTGAAACCCAATTCTTGGGGAGTCAGATTGAAGAGGCTATGTAAAGTTTAACTGACTTGCATCATCAACATATTCATAATAGTCATGATAATAATAATACTCATAATAACAATAATGATAACAATAATGATAAACATAATAGTAACTATATTTATGATGATAGTAAGAATAATAATAAACTAACAATAATGCTCCTAAGCCAGATTGAAGAGGTTGCACCCCGCCTTCTTGGAACTCCGTGGCGCCAGCGAGCGACGCCCGGCGCTCCGCCAGGCCCTTCGACGCCAGCCGCGCAGCGGCCACACGGCCCGCCTCGGCCGCGCGCCGGGGGCTGGAGCCCCCGGCCGCGGCCAGGGCCTGCGAGGCTTCCAGCAGACCAGCCCCAGGATTCTGGAAACAGTATAAACAACATGTGTATATATATATATATATATATGTGTGTATTCATCTATTAATTAATCTAAAAAAGAAAAAACCTGTATATATGTGTATATATATATATGGAACCGATATTAGGCAACAGGAAAAAGGGTGCGAATCCGAATGAAACCACTACATAGAGGATATACAATCATGTGCATTGGATTTCAACCACGAGACACCAGGTTCCCCTGAGGGAAGTGGCGGGTGTTTCCGTGTATCCTCAGGCCGGTGGCATTTTCTTGTTTCCAAGAGATGCGGCCCCCCTACATCACGCCCACAGACCACTTTACAGTGTTCGGATTTGTTGGGAGGATTCCCTTTGAAGTCAACTCCCAAAAAGGGGGCGCCCTGTTTCTCGAGGGATGACTGCCTCATGGCTAGTTAGCATATCCAACCAATAGGTACAGTTGGGACACCACTAGGGAGGGCTTGGGTGGGCCACGATTCATTAAGGTTCCACGTGCCTGTTACTCATAGCAATGGGACCCTGGTTGATAAGGGGTGTCCCAGAAAAAATGCTTTACTCTTGGGGAAAACACCCCTTGTTGGCAACCGCCCCAACGCGCTGTGTTGTGCTTTGGAGCGCTCATGGCGGATATTGGGTGCGCATGGCGATCTTAACAAAAGAGAAACACCGCTTGGCATTTTCCTGCTTCTGCAGGGGAAGTACCTCCCCCCAAAAAAACAAATAAAGTAAATATTGGCCTTCGGTTACAGTGTCCGGCAGCATAGAACCTAACCTCCTTCCCTCCTCGGAATTTCGGGCTTTTGGTCAACGTGAACCCCCCCACCTCCGCCACCTCCGCCGCGGCCCGCGCGGCCACCTCCGCCGCCGCGGGGCTCGACTTCAGCGCCGCCTCGGCAGCCACGGCGGCGGCGGCCGCCGCCTCCCCCACCGCGCCTCGCGCGGCCACGGCCGCGGCCTCCGGGAAAAGCAGTCAACGCGGAGATGGTGTCCACCAAGTGGGACAGAGAACCACTATATGTTGTACCCTTCCCACCAGTGGATGATAGAAACTTAGATCGACCAGTAAAATGGTCTTCCAAATTGTGGTGACTGTTAGTGTTTGGGGGCAGGGTCCAAAGTATATGGGCGTTTCTCGAAATTGCAAACCCCTCCAGGTGGTTGGTTTCCTTTTGGCTACCTGTGAAACCGTGACCACTCTAAAGCCACTAAATGGTATATGCCAACCATTTCCCCCTGGTAGTGGTTGGAGGGTAGAAACCCAACCAATTTGGGCCTTTAAGCCCCCCAACTTCAAATCCACCAATGCCCAACCATTGCAGCCACCCATTTAAAGTACCACCACCATCCTTTTGGAAAATCATGGAGCTGAAACCACTATCTCACCAATATGACATTTCAGAGTTGCCTCCTCAAAGGATAAATACGGAAAGATCATACCCAATTTGTATTTCACTTTACTTAAAGAAGAAGAAAAAGGAAGGAAGGATAAACCAAGACACAAAAACATAGAGCTCCATCAATAGACAAACCCGAATTCCCCACCAAAAGACTCACCGTCCAATCCGCCTCCGCAAAGGCGGCCGACACGGCGCCCTCCTCCTCCGCCTCCGCGCGGACCAGCGCCTGCTCCTCGTGCCGCGGCTGGTGTCTGGTAGACCCACGGGGCGCCGGCTTTTTGGTTGCCCGGCCAAAGTGGTCTCGGTTTCCGGAGGGTTGAGAAATCAAGAGTTTGGCTGGCGCAAGAGTTTGGCTGGTTCAAGATGTTAGTCTATTGTTGATTTGGGTTGTTGTTGAGCAACCCAACTTCTAGGGCTTGACTCAACCCGTGCGATCCATCTTTGGAGACGTGAACAAAATGACGCAAAAAATCCTGCAAGCATGTTCAAACCGCTGGGCGTCCTTGCGGCACAGCTCGATTGCCGCCTCCGCTTGCTTCTCAGCACGCGACATCTCCAGCAGCTGCTCGTCGTGCTGCGCAGAGAGCGCCGCCTCCTCACGTGGCAGGCGCGGAACCGCCCTGCGCTTGTGTTGCTTTTTGAGGCTACCCCCGTTTTTGGGCCATTTACAGAGAAACGTGATCACCCACTTTGAAGGGCTACCCCCGTGCGCAAACTTTTTTTTGGCCCCCACATGAGCCGCGATGTGGGGACATGTCAATGTGTGCGAGTCCCCCTAATTGTCAGGGTTGAAAGTTAGAGCTCGTCCCCCCCTTGTCATCCCCCTTAAATTCACCGATTTGATTGTATGTTGCATTGAAGGCTCCGCTCATTACCAATCAAATGAAAAACATTGAGAACCCTGGATGCGTCATCCGGCTCAGAAGGCTTGACAAGAAAAGCAACCATCTCACCATTGGCTCAAGGAAAAGGAAACAAACCTGTTTCAAGCGGGGAAATCCCTAGGCCCCTCCCCCCCACCAACCCTGCTGAAGGGTTCTAGCATTCTAAGGGCCAACTTACATACCCCAAATGGACATACGCCAAAAGGGCCGTAAATCTAGGGATGCCTTGTTGGGGCATCAGAACCCTGTATACCCCAGGTAGAGCAAATGGTGGGGGGTCTGTCCATTTTGGGCCTTAGGTTCTTAGAACGTTGGCCCCCGGAGATCGCCCCATGCCACGGAGACGTCGGTTTCGTCCTCGGCCGCCAGCTGTGCTTTCAGCTCCTCCAGGCCCCGCTGCTCTTGTCGCGCCACGTCCGACTGCAGCACCGAGACGCGGCGCCTGGTCGCGACCGACGACCCGCGACGTCCGCGCAGCGACGTGGTTTTTGCATGACTTCTGGGGAAAGTGAAGGATCATCCTCTTCCTTCCGCATGGTCCTCTTTCTCTTCACGTGTCTTTCTCGTGTTCTTCTTTTTGTTTTATCTTTTTTCTTCTTATTCTTCTTCCTCTTCTTCTTGTCCAGTTTCCAAATGGCCGGCAAACGGTATTGAAGCACCAACTAAGCCCCACGCTGTCCATCCAAAACGGCGCCCTTCTGGTCTGCACTGAAGGATTTGCGGCGAGCCTGCACCTGTCGCGCAATCCAGGTGGGTGTTTCGCACAATTCGGGGGCCCAATCCGTAAAACGGCCGAGTTTCTTTTAGTTCACGACGCGTGTCACCATAATGGAACCCCACTGGTTGGATATATTTTTTTATAGTTCTATGTTATATATATAAGACGTCCTGTTGGCTTGAAAATGGTTGGTTGGGGTCTGTTTTAAGACCAACCAAAAGAATGTCGATTCACCCAGTTTTGTGACTCACGTTAAGCTAAGGCAGGAATGGTCTGGCCGACGGCTTGTTGGATTGGATTGGGGTCAACAACCAGAGCATCGGATCGTGCCCGGATCCACGGGAAACCGCCTTTTTCGGGTGTGGGTTGACTTCTTGCACTCAACAACGGCTGACAACCCATGACTTCAATCGCTGACTGGCTTGCACATGGGCGTTAAACATATACCCATGACTCTTCATCACTTTGAAGGGGAATTCCATTGATATCCAAGACGGCCGTCAAGCCCTGTTTTCCACAACCATGCCCGTATTCCAACTTGAAATTGCCGGTCTCCTGTATCTTTTGTATTTGTTTATAAGTGTTGTAAGAAAAAACAACAGGACTCCCTTAAAAACCCATCCAAACAGAAAAAAAACACCCGAAAACATCCCTTCCCAGGCGCCTCCTCAACGGCCAGCTGCCGCGCCTCGCAACAACCGCAAAGGGGTGTGTCTTATGAAGAAGAGATTTGGAGCCCCCAAATTGGCTTCAGTGTTCCTTTGGGTTTCCTTAGAAAAACAAAGTACCCTCAAAAAAAGACGAGCCACCCATGTGCCATGATCAAGAGCTCAGTACAAATGATGATGGTCATTGGTCAATAACGAGAACCCTACGGGTTGTGTAAGCTCCCTACGAGACGGCTGACCATCCTGCCTGTGTCTTGGGTCAAACTCTTGGGATGTGCCAAAGATCCTTCTAAACCCCAGAAATCCAGAAAAGCCCAAGGAACCGTATGCCTCAATGCTGACCCAACCCCAAGCAAGGTGTCTTGTTCATTTGCGTCTGGCGAGATCATTTCGCCTGCAGGTCCTTCTGCAGCGACAGAATCTCGCCCTGCTGGATGATGCCAATCTGCCTTCGCCGCACAGCCACGGACAACGCAGCGAGGGAGCCCAAACATCCCTTGAGGGTGGCCCGTGTGCTGCGTGTTGAAAGGGAAACCGAAAGGACATTTGCCATTTTAAGGGGGTGTTCCCCATTTTTGGAGGCAAATGGGCAACATGCAGTAACCACTATTTGCCTTCTGAGATTTTGGTGGGTGTGCCGCGCAATGTCCTCTACTACCGTACCCATTTGTACGCTTCCAAACTGATATGGAGTCTCCATGTCTTTACAAACCTCAAGGGACATTCACGGGGGGGAAATGAAGTGCGGTTATGTGTCCAATTATTCCCCTTTGCCCAAAACTGGCGGGTTCCACTTTGGGTTCCTTCTTAACCCCCCCCCCAAGGTGTGTCCTTTTCCTTTCAAGGTGCCCTCTTCGAAATGGATTCAAAGGCAAACCAAATTAAACGCATCGCCCTTGTTGGGAAAGATATACCCGAAACGGGTATGTCCCAAAAAACGCAGAAGAGAAACAAACAAACAAAAACGCCCAGCCGCGCCTCTTGGCGTCGCCGCTACGGGCGCGCAGGCGCTGTAGCTCCCCCCGCCGGTCGTGGAGCTCCTGGCGAATCCTTGGGGTTTCTCGGGGGGGTTGGGGGGCGGCCTTGGCCCGACGGGTGTAAGGCGAATCAAGGAGACAGTCAGAAATCATTGGGGTTAGGGGGGGGGGGGGAAGTGGGCTTGGGTTTTGGGAAGGTCGTCATTTCCAACAATGGGTGTCCGTTTTACTAATAGAATTGGGGGGATTCTTCAGAATCATTCTGGGGGGTGTTCACAATCATTGTGTCCTTTTTATGGAAAGTAGATGGGTTTCGCTGCCAGATGATTGAATTATCAGGAAAACTAGGAATCGCCATCTATTTTTCAACCAAACCAAAAAGGACACCTCCCTGAGGTCACTATGTTGCCCATTTCTGTGGGGGGTAAAGTCAGAAATTGGGTGGTTTCCCTTTAATCTATTATTTGGGGGGTGACTTTGATAGAATAAGAGCCGTCATGGGGGGCATGGGTGTTTTTAACCCATGAAATGCACCAATGTCAACCCCGCAAGTGAGAATTACGCGCATCTAGGAAGATTGAGATTTAAAAGTAGGCGGGCAACGCACTTTTATTGCTGCGGACCTTGGATGTTGTGCCCAAAATTGCTTGTCTGTAGCAGGCATTATCAAACAATTGGACCTTGCATATTGTGCCCAAAATTGCTTGTCAGTTGCAAGCGTGCACTATCAAACAGTGTTGAAGAAAAGGCCAGTCACCAAAAGTGTCTTGTCTATTGCCAGTGTAATCTTTCTTGTCATTCCTGTCACACTGTTTGGCAACAGAACTGAATTAGACAAGCTGGTCGTTTATTCTAGTTTGCCTGCCCCTTGAAAGGGGAGACAAACCAATAGAAACTCAAAAGAATGCAATTTCAGCTCTATTGGTAAACATATCTCAATCAGCTTTCAAGTCAACATCTGAATTAGAATAGGTGATCCTTCCCAAGTAGGATGTTAATTGAGAATCTAATAAGGAAAGAGTCGCGCGTTGTTTCTTCTAATTTGCAAGCCTCTGAAAAATAGAAGAAAAGAAAAACTGGAAAAGACAGATTGCATTACAACTTGTTTGCAAGATTTACAGCGAAGCTTTACTTACATTCGAATTGGATTCAATTAGACTTCACTTCATTTTCTTGAATTAGACATTAGTCAGCACTTCCCTTCCAAGCAGGATTCCAATTAGAACCTTGAATTTAATTGATGATTTAGATGTGTAATAAGATCTTGTCCATACATGCGTTCAACTAGACATTGGTTGTACATATACATATATAAATATATGTATATATATATATATGTGTGTGTGGTTTATGTTGTTTTACGTATATTGTTCCTATTCTAAATAAAAATATCTTTCCAGATATGTTTCTATTTGACATGTATATAACTAGAACTTAGTAAGGAAAGACAAGCTGGTAGCTTCTTCTAACTGGTTTAACTACAGTTACTGTTTTGAATCAGAATTTAGATAGGGTGTCCTTTCCTGCAATTCTTAATTTAGCTTTAGTCTAGATAGAATATGATAAGGAAAGACAAGCTAGTTGTTTCTTCTAGTTCATCTGAATAGAAATCAGATGCAGATAGCAGGTGAACTCGAGAAAACAAAAACACACACACCAAAAAAAACAGGCCCAATGTATCCGTGATGGCTGAGTGATCCTTGATCGTTGGTTTTCTTGAGGTTGTGTTTCTTTGAAAGTATCAAAGAATCATACCCAAAAACCCACCCTCCATGAGGGACCCTTCTGTAGAATAATGGGCCCAGCAGACGCCCTCCAACAGTCAGAATCATTGTGGGTTTGGGGTTTCTCGGTTCCTGCGATCATGGAAGCTGACGATCAGAGGGTTTTGAAAGATCCACTGCCATGATGGTTGGAAAGAGGGTAGACGCCCCTTTCGACGCTTCATTTACTCTTGACTTTTTTCAAGGTTTGTTCAACGTGAAAACGCCAAAACTGGGAGCACCATAGTTCTGCCTCTGTGGGTCTAGTTTGGGGGGGGAATTCTTTGAGCCAAGCAACTGAAGAAACGGTGAAATGGATATGTGTCAAAATACGCTGACCCCAAAAATGGGCGGATTTCTTTTGGCCTCTCCGCAGGTGGGAAGGACACGGCCGGATTTTGTTTGCAAGTGTGGAAGAAATAGCTTGCAGAACAAAGTTTTTGAACAAGTGGTTCAACAGAAATGGACAAAAACTGCTTAGATTAAAAAACAAGTGCAAAAACTTCAGAAAAGCCAACAACTTCTCAAAAAGAAGTGACAAGTGTTGAAAGACTTCGAGCGAATCCCGCAAGCGCTCGCTCCTGCGACAGCTCCTGGGTCTTCCGCTGAGACGCCATCAACTGCTCCTCCGACCGCACGCGCTCCTCCCGCAGCGCGGAGAGAGCCTCCCAGCGGCGCACGAGGATTTTTTGGCGCGCGTGCTTGGCGGTGTGTCCAAATCGGGGAAACCCCTTTCCGTTAAAACAGCCCGAAAAATCAGGTATCCGCGAAAAAGCGACACACCCCAATGGGGACCACGCTTTCCGGCCCAAAATCTGGCTTTTACTCTCCATTTGCCTCTTGGGGTGAGGGTTCGCGGGCTTGCAGAAAACGGCTTGCCAATGGAAATCCGCACACACCCACACACACACACACACACACAAACAAACAAACAAACAAACAAACAAACAAAGAAAACCATTTTCTCACTCGGGCGTCTTCACACGTCGCCCACGCCTTGTCCTGGGACCGCAGCCTTTCCTGCGTGAAGCAAGCGGTACCCTTGCCAGCCTGGCCTTGAGGGTACCCTTGCACGGAAAAGGGTCAGTTGGAGACTTCCCCTTGGACATAAAAACCTCACCAAAGTTAGCCATTTGGGGTTTGGCGGGGAAAGGAACCACCCCTTGGGGTTCAGTCGGCTCTGGTCAAAAGGTGGAATGTGCCCAGGTAACACGCCAAAATGCTCCAGTGAGGTCCCCAAAAAGATTCCAGCCAAACATGAAAGCACCATGAAACCAACTTAACCAGGGTTTGGAAATGAAGTTTACATGAGCCACGCTCAACCTTTGGGCTTTTTGTTTTCCCTTCGTTTTTTTTCGAACAACCCACATGGATTGGGCTCCTCAGACGTGGAGCGCGCGCTCAAGGCACTGAGATCTGGACCTTGAGAGCTTGAACGTCTGGCTCAGGAGCTTGGCAGGCCAGCAGCTGCCACCTAGGTCCCACCAGCCGACATGGCAACAAGACAAACTTGATGCATGGCGGTGCCCATACCGTGTAAGTTCTTCAAAGAGAATGGCGATGTGCTTCCGTTTCGAGATCACTTGCAAGTATCGGGTTTTTGGAAGGCCCAGATCTGGCTTGGATTCCCTCGCTTGTCTTTTGGGTGTGCTTCCTCTTCTCCAGCCTGACTCCCATTTTGGGCCGATTTGGAGTGAGGTTTGGGTCGGTTGAGGATGAGGCTGGCAGAAATGACAAATGCCCAGGAGCTTTGTCCCAAGAGCCAAGGCAATTCTGCAGACGAGTCAGCCGAGCCAACGAGCCCAGAAGCCAACGAGCAACAAGCGAAGCCGAGAAGACACGGCGCCAGAACACGAGAAAAGCCATGAACCCAAAAGCCAAGCCGAATTTAGATGGCTGGAAGGAAAAAGGCGTGTTTGCTCTTGGGATGGCGTTCATGCAAGGGATGGGGTTCAAGCAAGGGATGGGGTTCAAGCCAAGAGAAACAAAAAATGAGAGTGCCTCTCCCATCAGGAAGCCCCCGGTTGAAGGGTTCCACATGCTTCGCTGGACAGAAGGCTTTCCGCCACTGTCCAGAACCCAGCCCTCAGGGTTGATGAACCAGACCCTGCTTCAACACGTAGGTGTGCGTTTTCGAGTTGGTATCATTCTTGGGTTGCCTAAAAGACCAAGAAACAACAGGAGAAAACCTTCCCATGTTGCTCCAAGCCCTATTTTACCACATGCCCAATTCAAGTTCTCCCCGGTCTTTCCCACGCTTTTCGGCCGAACGGGCCCCGGTTCACCGGCGGCATGGGCCGCCCGGCGGCGGCCGCGCCGCCGCGCTCCGCGCGGGCGCGTCCAGGCGCTCCAAGCCGCTCTGCAGGGCGCGCTCCAGGGAGACGATCTCCACCTACGGCCGGGGGGCGGTCTCCACGGCCCCCGGTCATGGCCATGAGTTCCACTTTTTGACTTCCCCTTGGACGTAAAAACCTCACTAAAGTTGGCCATTTGGGGGGTTGGCGGGGAAAGGAACCACCCTTTGGGGTTCAGTCGGCTCTGGTCAAAAGGTGTAATGTGCTCAGGTAACACGCCAAAATGCTCCAGCGAGGTCCCATTTAGTGCTTGACCAGCTGAGTTCGCTTCTCCCTCCCGAATGGAACATAGACTACTGGCAAGTTTGACCGAACCCACAAGGCTCCAGCTGGATGTCCAACCTGTGGTTTGTGGGAACATCCTTATGGCCGGACAACTATCTCACAAAGGTTGGCTGGATCGGTTGTCCAGCAGGAGGAGACCCACCAAGTAAATGGGCAACGTGTTGAGACTCAGCCAGGCTCTCCAAGAAACACCTGCCACCAAAAGGACACTCGCCCAATTTCTTGGCCTCGGGCGAGAGTTCAACCACGGACCAACATTGCATGTATTGGTGGCTCGTCTCTTTTTCGGGGGCCCCGCGCTCCAAATCTGGCTTCGTTTAAAACCACAAGGAAGGTGTGGCTCCAAAAGCGACACACCCAAGAAAAAAAAAGGCACATGCAGCTGCCAGTTGCTCGTGCCCAATGGAAGGGCCCCACAGCAAGGGTCTGAGGCTCGCACCTGATGCCCAGCATTGCTCTGCTCCTGCTTTGCTATCCGCTGCTTCCACTCCTGGCAAGCGCCAGCAGAATCCTTGCTACGCTGTGGATTTTGGTCAGTGGCTGCTGTCCTTTTGGCCAGCGCCAGCAATCCTTGCTACTTTTTTAATTTTGACCTGAGAAGACATTTGGTCAACCAACCAAAACGAGCGACAAGTTGCTGTCCTTTTGGTCAACCAAAGCCAGCGACAAAAGACACAACCCAAGACGTGGTTGCTGTCAGCGACAAAAGACACGCAAAGCTTGTGGCGAAGGTCCTCGATGGCTCGCCTCTGGGCCGCCAGCTCTGCCTCCACTTCTCCGCCTCCGTGCTTGTCTTTAGTCGGCCAAAAACGGTCCGTGTCCGTGCGACCCCAAGGTTTGCAACGGGATGTCGAAGAAGGGCCAAAACGTGTTGGTGGTGTTCCTTTGGGTTTCCAAACAAACTGCAATGAAGATCCTCGCGAAAAACACGCACACACATCAGAGATGCTACCGCAGCAGCCTTCACGTGGTTTGCTTGGCTGTTCCACCGCCTCACTCTTTGCCTGGCAGGCTGTCACTCACCCGCAAAAGATCCAGTGCCGCCACTCGGAACCAGCCACTTTATGTGCACAACATACTCAACAAAAGGCTTGTATCAAAATAGGGACCCCTGCAAAACAGAAGGTGCTTGTCTCAAAGATTTTAACATGGACTTTGGTTCTCTTCTGGTTTATCTCCGAAAAAGAAGAAAAAGGGGTTCCTTGAAAACAGGCACCTTTCAAACTGATCGTTTTTGGGGAACCCCCCCCCTGCGTGTGCATCCGGGGAGTGGCAGCGAGCATCAGCCCGCACCTTCTGCGCGCGCAGCTCACTGAGCTCTGCCCTGGCATCCTCCAAGCGCCACCTGAGCCGAGGTGCAACAAGTCCTGTACATGGGTGTGTGTGTGTGGGTGTGTGTGTGTGGGTGTGTGTGTGTGTGGGTGTGTGTTTGATTTTTTTTTGGAAGGTACCCTTTTTTGTGGTGCTTGAAGGAAACCACCAAAAGGAAAACCGAAGCCAATTTGGGGGCGGGTCCCTAAAAAAAGACACCCAAATTGACGAACTCAGCAAAAAACCCTCTCAAACCGCAACTCCTGAACATGGAACAATCATGTTAGTCCTTCTCTCCGGTCACTTTCCATCTTGGGGATCATGTCGCACCTTGAAACCTCAGAAACGGTTCCTCTCCGGCAGGAAGGCAACGGATTCCAGCGCGGGCAAAACCGATCGGTGTGTGCTTCTTTTTTGAGGCATGCCAAGATACGTGGTGCCCCTTGAACTTGCAATCAACCATCCTCAGGTCCTTGTAGCAAGGGACTCTCTTTGGCTTGCATAGGGATGATCAACCGTAGCCACCCTCAAAAAAGGATAAGAGGAGACGCCATGGCTCGTGTGGCCTAAGCTCTTCCCGCGTCGTGGGGCGGATGCGCTTAGGCCCAGCCTGCGACGTCCGAGGTGGAAATTGGCCCGTTGGTGGGTTGTCAAACTCAGGGCCCCTTCGGTATCCCCTGAACTCGGCACGTAGCGCCAGCACCAAAAAGGGAAAGCATAGTTTTGACAACCCAAGCAATCGGTGGATGCCCTAAATATTGCAAGGGGAACCAGGAGAAGTTTCTATAACTCTTCGTGAATGCGTTGGCCCACTTGCAATATATAGGGAATCCACCGTAGCATGCATCGTAGGCTTGTTGAGGCACAAGCACAAGTCTACCATTTTACTCGTAGACCCAAATGGGTTTGTCTCAAAATAGGACAACCCCCTAAAGTGTGCGGTTTCCTTCGGCTTCCTTGTGCAACAGCCCCAAAAAAGGGTACCTTCACCAAGAAAATAATAACAGCGACGTCCGCGCCTCCAAAGCTCGCAAGATCTGCTTCCGTGCGGTGTCCTGCAAGGCAAGCGGGGCTGGTGGAAATGCAGCCAGTGCTTCCGCGAAACTGCGGAAGCCGAGCGCCAAGAAAGGCAGGCTTCTTTCGAATTGGTTGTAATGACATGAAAGATGTGAGGCGAGATCGAAATCTATCGGATCTTGTGGCACCAAGAAAAACACGATGTGTCACGACATCATCGAACAAACCACAGACTGGCCTGCTGGGTATTTCAAGATCCGGTGTCACTTGCGATAGCCATTGATACAGCTGCACACTGCGGGCTGACATGGCATGATGGGGCATGTGCAAAAGATGTCGAAAGTGGAAGTGACGATACTTCTGGCACTGGGATTTCGCACAAGCCTCACATGGCCAGCCATCACCTGCATGGCAAGCAAAGCACAGGCGCTGCCCATTCAACAGGTTTGCCTTGGTTCAAAAACCCGCGAACACGCACAGCAAAAGCCGCGATCTCAGTCAGTGAGCAACTCGTCAGTGAAGGCCTTGCAAAGTTGGACCAGGAAATCCAGGACACGGCGCCGAGTGCCAAAAGGTAGTGCCCTCAGCTGATGCTTGAGCATCAGTTGAGCCACCAGCGCTGGCAGAAGCAGCTCCCAGTGCTTCGCTGCTTGGAACCGGTGAGAGTTCTGCCCTTTGCTGCACTCACTTCGGGCAGCAGTTGCCAAGCCTTCAAAGAGCAGCAGCCGCCGGTCGTTGGACCTCAGCGCTTGCAAGAAAAAGGACGCTCAAAGCAGCCAAGCTAAATGGCCGAGCGGCGGCAGCAGCTCCCGAACCATTGCGTCTGCAATGCGCTCAGCAGTCTTGCTATCTTGGGGTAGTCCAGTCTGCAGATGTTCCTGCACATGGTGGGAAGTGGACCACTCTGTGATACCCCATGACTGCTTCATCGTTCCTAAAGGAAATACCTTTGATACCACGGAAAGTAGCTGGCAAAACTCAGCTTCCCAGCTTCTCCTGCATGAAGGCGAGCAGCTTTTGGCCCTCCACCACCACCACCACCCAGGGCTGCGACCGCTCGCCCCCCTCCCCCCGGAGCTCCAAGGTGAGGCGCTGGACGCCATGGACGGGCTTGGCACTTCCAGGCGAGCCCCAGGTCACATCAGGAGGCAGAAGCGGCCGAAGCTCTGAGGCCAATCCCCGGGCGGCCAAATGGAGCCTCCGCGTTTCGTGGCAGCGGGGGCCATAAATTTTGGCCCCAAAACTCACGTGCCCCAAAGCCTACCCTGTGAGCCAGCGAGGGTTCAGAAAAGAAGGGAAGCCTGCAAAAAACTGGGGCGGTTTGCCTTTGGACCCAAGAAGCCCCGCCTGGCGCCAAAACCGTCGCCGCCTCCTTCGCCGCCGGCCTCGCCCCCGCAGGCGGCGAAGAACTCCGCCGACAGCGCCGCGGCCTCGGGGCCACCGCCCAGCAGCGGCGCCAGCAGCAGGCGCCGGCGGCGCGGGTCTTTGCAGCGGCGATACGCCGCTTGCAGCTGCGAGATCGAGTGAAACCTGGCGCATGGAACCAGGGATGGGGAAGAATAGGCTCACGAAAAGGCAAGGGGCGTAATCTCTATACTCTCTGGGACAAAACATGTTTATTAATATGGTCCTGTGGGGTCCACTGGATGTCCTCGTCCAAATGGGCTCCGAAAAAAAAAAAAAAAAAAAAAAAAAAAAAAAAAAAAAAAAAAAAAAAAAAAAAAAAAAAAAAAAAAAAAAAAAAAAAAAAACTCAAAGCCTCAATGTTCCGAGAAACGAGTTCAAACAAAACCGTTCAAGGTTGTTGTTTTTTTCCCGTTTTTGCAGTTCAAAGGTAAAGGGTGCAGTTTAAACTCAGAATTACAATTCAAGAAACAAATGTAAATTAGTAAAAGGCAAGTATTAGAATTTGGTATTGGGTTGATGCAAGGAGCCCCTGATAAGGCTGGGGCTGGTCTGGGCGGAGACACGGACAGTTTAGCATGGTTTTGTATGGGGCTATTCTGAAAGTAGTATTGGGGACCCGGCTGTTTCAGCCCGTCTGGAAAAAATAGTATATATTAATAGGGCTATTTATTAAAAGGGGGAAGGGGCGTAACGATGTGGCGGATGTTGTGCAATGTGCAGTGGGCAACTGGCGAGACAAGCGCCTCTGCCCGATTACGATAGCATTGATGTCTAGCTCGAATGGTTCGTGTGTGCATGCTCATATGGCAGGAGACCAACACCAAAAAATTAAATATAAACAAAAGGCTTTGCCGAAGCCTTTTCGTCGCCCAGACCAAGACTTCTGGCCGCACCTGGCGCTCAGCGCCCGCAGCTCCTCCTCCCCGAAGCCCACAGCCCTGGCTGCCGCCTGCAAGCTGCTGACCTCCTCGTCGCTGGCTTTGGCTGCCGCCAGCAGCGCCGGCTCCTGGCAAGGAACCCATCTGTGTCAAAGGGGGGTGGGTTCCCCTTGGCTTCACACTGAAACCAAGGTGGAAAGGGAAACCCTCTAAGAAAACACGCAGCCATACACACACGCACACACACAAACAGGTGGGCGACACTTTTTGGTTCAGTCGACGGGTTTCCCTGTGGCTTCACTTTGAAACCGAGGTGAAAGGGAAACCCTCCAAAAGGCCGCACACCCAGGTGGGTGCCTCCGTTTGGTTCGGGGGCATGTTGGGTGTTGTCTTGATGGGAAGCCGAAAGGGCGCTGTATGTTTGGGCGGATGAAGGCAAGTATGCTTTGAATAAATGTCCTAGCCGGCAAAGATTTTGGCAGCCGCAAGAGTTTCATTTCATGGCACCACTTCAACACATGGAATGATGGTCTCGTGTCGAATTTTGTGACAGGCGCAGGCAGAACTTTGGAGCACAGAGCGCAGGTTTAGTGGCGGGCGCAATACTTTGGAGGGTGGCGGGGCGGGATCGCAAGTCACAATTTCTCGGAAAGCACATTCTGGTGGACTGGGGCAAAAATGTTTGGGATGAGTTTGCTTGCCCTTTAGTATGTCATGTTTTTTGTTGGATTGCATCCTGTCCCCAACTTGGGAACGACCTTTCGCAAGGAACCCGGGGCCCAAGGTGGCTTTGACGGAAACACGAAGTTGGGCCCCCATTTTGGGGGGGGGGGGAGGGGACACGCAACCGCAACCAACAAATCCCGCAGAAAAACAAGACAGGACCCACAAACCTTTCATTTGTTTCCCAACAAAACATTGGAAATGGTGACTTTTCTCCCAAATGTCTTTGTAAAATGTGGGCTTGTTCCACATGTCCTGCCAATATGGATATTTGTGTGTGTGTGTGTGATTCCGCGTCCAAATCTGGCGACGCAAAGAACTTATGGCTAAAACCCATCCAAAAGCAGTCGCATGTTTTGTGAGTCACTCTGTCCTGCAGCCCTATGCTGGGCCCCATAGACAGCGTGAGCGCTTGGAGCCAGGAGGACGTTTCAGTCCAACTGCTCGTCAGAAAGAGGAAGCACCGGGTGCTCAAAATCAAGTCCGCCAGAAACTTCAGCAAGTCACCTGAGTTGGTCAGAGAGACCTCCTAAAAGTTCACCAGCATCCGGCACTTGGCTCAAAAAAGTGCTGCATGTTCCCTTTGGGCTTTGTGAAAAACGCTTCAAAGATCAGAAAATTCTAGGGGTTCATTCCCCATTCTTTTCAACCATCGTTCTTTTCAAAAACCAGCTGATTCCCCTGGCGTTCTGATGGATTTCTGGAAAGAAGGATCCCTGGAAAGAATGGGGAAGTGTCCCTCAGAAAGCGTCCTGTGCACCAAGGTTTGCGCGGCGCGCGCGAACGTCGAACGCGCCATCGACTTTCACCTCAGCGCCGAGGCACCGGCGCTCTCCAGCGCTTGATCGTTGCGAGAGTAGGCCACAGCCTCGCATTTTTGTTCTCTCTTTGTTTTTGTGTTTTCGGGTTATCGATTCGGTACAGGTAGTAACCATGGGGGAAGCCATGAATATGGGTGGTGTTCGTTTGGTATGTGCAGTATTTCTTCAAAACTGTATGGCTTTACACGGCACAGGGACTTACCATGGCTTTTGTAGCATGAAATTTGACCACTTGGGTAGCCACCAACCATTTACCTCACGCAGACCGCTTTAAGGCAGATTGCCTTGAGGAGCCAAAGGGGCGGAAAAGGTGTCTTGAACAGCCAAAGGGGCGGAAGCAAGGGAGCCTTGCTCGCCCGGCGGCTTCAAACATGATACGAGAAGCAGCCGTAAGGTGCAATTCCCACCTCAAAGTTGGAGAGACCAACCTTACAGACATGGGGAAACCGACCATCGAACATTCCACCAGTCAACATAAGTATGGGTCTTCCTTGATTTTGAGCACACTCGTGCTTTCGGATCAAAGCTGCAAAGTGTCCTTCTTCATGTCCAAAAAGCCAAGCTTCTCACACCACACAACAAATCAAATGGGCTGCTTCCTTGCGGCTGTCCTTTCACTACCAAAAAGGCGAAAACAAAACCAAATTGGAGAAACGAACAAGCGGGGATACGGGAGCGGAGATATGGGAGCCTTCCCTCGGCGCTTTTTCCCATATCAAGCTTAGTCAAGGTGCAAATCCTCCGGTATCCCAGGCTCCGGTATCCCTGCTACTTGGTTTTATCATGTTTTATCCCTGCTACTTGGTTTCCAGCAAAAAGGCGCCTTGGGCGTGTCCGCAAGGTCCACGTCTCCCTCCAGCAGCAGCGCCACACACGGCAGCGGAGCCCCGCAGAGACGCCGCAGCTGCCGCAAGTGGTCCCCGCGACCGGAACGGCCCATGAGGTCCTGGACCGTCCTGGGAGCCCAGTGCAGAAATGGGTGTGGGTCAAAAATAGGTACGCAAAATGGCTTGCCCTGGCAAATGGAAACAACAACTAAAACCTGCGGTCCCTGGTGGCTTAATTTTGACCCATATCCAAATGTTGTTTTTCAAAATCGGGACCCCTGAAAATGCTGGCTTTCATTGTGGATTCCCGTTAAACCGGCCAGAAAGGGGGGGTCGCACAAAAAGCGGGGAGGTGTCCAAAAATGAGTCGTTTTCCCTTGTT